AGTAGAACTGCCCCATAGGATTTCCAAGCCTGTAAATTTTTATGGAAGCAGACTACCACATCTTTCTCCTGCAGAATGGCTGGTGGGTTCAAACCACCGGCCTTTCAGTTAGCAGCTGAGCACTTAAACAGTGCACCATCAGGGTTCCTAACAGGGTACAACTGCCCCATAGGCTTTCCAAGGCTGTAATCTTTACAGGAGCAGACTGCCACATTTTTTCTCCTGCGGAGTGGCTGGTAGGTTCAAACCACTGACCTTTCAGTTAGCAGCCGAACACTTAATCAGTGCACCACCAGGGCTCCTTTTTATAGGAGCACAACCCCCCAAACACCAAAACTTCATGACAGACTTCTCTTTTCCTCTCCTCTTTTCACACCACACATCCAATTACTCACAAAATCCTACTGATTTTAAGTCCTGGATGTGTCTTCAATTTATCTTCCCTCTTTATCCTGTGCATTCCTGTCACAGTTCTCATGTCCCATCTGGGCCACTGCAGTAACCTCCCAGCAGGTTTCACTGTTGCCTCCACTTCTGCTCCCCTCAAATTCCTCATCCTCACTGCTGCCAGGATGAAAAACCTAAAACACACAGTGGCCGAGTCATCCAGTGGCAAAGACGGCTAGTTATCCTTTTCCTTTATCTTCCTTCTGGGCACACAATAGGAGCCCTGGTGGCACAGTGGTTAAGAGCTCTGCTGCTAACCAAAAGGTTGGCAGTTCGAATCCACCTGCCGCTCCTTAGAAACCCTATGGGGCAGTTCTACTTTGTCCCATTGGGTTGCTATGAGTCGGAATTGACTCGACAGCAATGGGCACACAATTAGACTACATTTCCCGGCTTTCCTTGAAGTTTGGTTGGGCCATGTGACTTAGTTCTCAACAACAGAATGTGAGCAGAAGTGATATGTGCCACGCCCAGGCCTGGCCCATAAAAACCTCCCACAGGAGCTCCTCTATGCTCTTTTCCCTTTCTGAGTGACTAGGAAGGCAACCCCAGGGCAGGTGGAATAATGAATGGGATGATGGTAGAGCCATTGTCAGCCTGGGTGCCCAAATGACTGCATGGATTTGAGCACCATTCTCTACTACCAAGACCTGGAACCTGGAATCACCTTGAATTGTTATATATGAGTGAGAAATCAACTTCTGCTTTGATGAATCATTACTTGTTGGGCTCTATTTGTTACAGCAGCCCAGCCTTCTGTGTGTGTGTGTGTGTGTGTGTGTGTGATTTTTAATTACATATACATCCTGTAGATACGTCTTCATATTTTGATTATTCCATTACTGATCCTATATCTAAGCCTTTTATCACCTTCTACTCTTTCACATTCTGTATGACCCATGTTGTAGCCTTCCCAAGGTCCATGGTGTTTTTAATTGCTGGGTCTTTCAGACTTCCCCATTAACTAAGTATCAAAATACTAAGGTGCATGAGCTTTCTACTCTAATTACAAATACACCTGCTCCTCACTTATCGACTGTCTCGTTATCTGACATTTCACGTTTACAACAATACTAAAAAATCTAATATTTGATCAACAACGTACGTCTGGCAGGAACAAACGCCAGGGTGAGAGTCATGCTGGCTACCATAGTTAAGGTTAAGTGTCAGCTTGGCTGGGCCACGATTCTCAGTGGTTTGCAGTCACGTAATGATGTAATTTGACAGTCTATGTAATGATGCAATTTTGCATTTACGTAATGATGTAATTTTGCAGTTATGTAATGATGTAGCTTTACAGACAATTTCGGAAACACAGAAAAGTGATCTTTGAAGGTTTTATATATGATTAATTTTGTTGGCCTGTACTGTATTATTGTAAAATATGATTTTGTACTATATTTCATTTATATTTTGGTACACAATAAACCAACATTTAATACACAGAGTTTCCACTGAACCTTGAAATGTACAAATATTAAGCTTAAGTAAAGAGTCAGTCAGGAATTGCAAAATTAAGACGATTACATTCATTTCAGATCATCTCTTGCACATTAAGTATGGCAGGCTAAAGTAAACTCTCAAATGCAGTCTTGGTTAAGCCTGTTGTTGTTGTTAGGTGCCTTCAAGTCTGTTCCAACTCACAGCGACCCTATAGGACAGAGTAGAACTGCCCCATAGGGTTTCCAAGAGCGGCTGGTGGATTTGAATTGCTCACCTTTTGGTTAGCAGCTGAGCTCTTAACAAACTATGCCACCAGAGCTCCAGTTAAGGCTAGGCTACCATAATTTTCACATAATGCTGATTTTTGCATGATGACCCGGTTTTTGGAACCTAACCACGTCGGTAAGTGAGGAGTGGGTGTAGTTATTTGTCTCAGTTGTCATAATTTATTCTCTTTGGTTTTGCATCTGTGGAGGCCACACGCTGTGTGAACTGCTTTGACTAATGGGAGGAGATGATTCCTGAGCATGCCAACCCTATTGATATGCCCTTTAAACCACTTTCATGAAATAGACTCTCACTCATGGCAACCCCATGTGTGTGAGAGTAGAACTGTGCTCCACAGGGTTTTCAGTGGCTGATTTTTCAGAAGTAGATCACCAGGCTTTTCTTCTGAGACAACTCTGGGTAGACTTAAACTTCCAAACTTTTGATTAGCAGCCAAGCATTCCAACTGTTTGTACCACCCAGGGACGCTAATATGCCCTTTAGGGACGTCCAATTTTTTGGAAAGAAATATAAGGAAAGAAATATAAGAACATCATCCTCAGAAACCTAAACATACCTATTTTATTTCAAAATATCTAGGCTGAACCCACTGTGGACACATCACAGGAGCCACTTGCCTCTGCAAACCCCAAAGTATGCTCAGTGGTATTTTAAAATACTTTCCTGGGAACTACATGACATTCTCATATGTCTATCAAGCATCATCACATAAGTGGCATTTGTTTTATGTCTATAGGATAAAAGAAGAAACAGATGGCGGCAAAGGCAGAAAGAGTGATGATGTTTTCTGGTTTGCCAAGCGATGGATTGTTGGCTCTGAAGTCAGTTATCCTGGGTTCAAATTCAATTCCTGATCCATTATGCCTGAGACTGTGAGATTTTGGCTAGCTACTTAACCTCTCTCAGCTTCAACTTCCCCATCTCTGAAACAGGGAAAATATGACCATTCTAGTCAGGCTGTGGTGAGCATTATATGAGAGAAGACGTGTAAATTAGCATAAGATCTGCTTCGTGGTACATACTTTATGAATGTTTATTGTCAACATCCTCCTCATTGTTAAGAGTCCTTTAGGACTGATTAGGAAAGAAATATCACTGAACTGTGAGGGAGCACAAAACCCATTCCTTCTGCTTCTTTCAACAAATTAAATTACCCTAAGCCTGAAAATCATTCTTTCTACTGAGCCTGGGTTCCTTACTTGCTTATGCAGATAAGATGTTGCTCCTTTGAAATCCAACGTGATCAATCACTTTAGAAATCAAACATAAATCAATGTGAAAATACTAGTAAAATGCAAACAATTATAGTATTTGATGCAAAAAAAATTTGGAGGTTTGCATTTACCTATTTCTTGCTAGTATAGTCAATGCATGACCAATGATGTTGATCAATTCATACTAAAGCATTCTATACAGCTGAGTTGTCAATTGGTGCTGAAAGTCACTAGAGTGACAGCCACTTCAAGTGGAAAGACTCAGAAGGCCCAATTTATGGTTCGTCATCCCACTGAGAAGTGTGTTCTCAGACAAGTCACTTAATTAAAAAAAATCTTAGTTTCTGTATTTGTAAACTGGCAAAAAATGAGACCCTACTCCCTAAAACCCAAACGAAACCTGTTGCCGTCAAGTCAATTCCAACTCATAGTGACACTATAGGACAGAATAGAACTGCCCATAGGGTATCCAAGGCTGTAATCTTTACGACAGCAGACTGCCACATCTTTTTCCTGTGAAGCGGCTGGTGGGTTCCAACTGCTAACCTTTTGGTTAGCAGCTGAGCGCTTTAACACTATGTCACCAGGGCTCCTACCTACTCCCTAGGACTGTTAAAAGGAGAAGAGACCACATATGAAAGTGGTTTGAAAAAACCACTAATGTGCTTTATCAACTAATGTGTTGTTACTTCTATTTTAGCTGATAATAGTTCACTTCTCTTTAGCTAGGGAGATGATTATGAAATGTCATAAAAATGCTGGATAACTTGAACGTGTGATCACTCTGCCACCATCCTCTTCTGAGTTGTTAAATTATTCTATCAAGTTCTTATATTGTACATTCCAAATTCAAATGGGTGAGAAATGACTTTTATGTTTCAAAGGACATAATTTAGTTCCAGAAATGGGAAAAAAAAACTAATATCTAACCAAATTTATGAATCTGAAAATTGGGGCAAAGCTTTGTCATCATGTTTATTTTCTCCCTCCTCTATAATCTAATTCTTCCAAAGAGTCAAAGAACTTTTTTTAATACAAACACTCCAACAATACAAAAAAAACAAAAAACAAAAACAAAAAAAGAAGGATAACAGTGAGCTATAGAATTCTTTTAGAAAGCCTCATCTTAGATTTCCATTTCAATTGTGATTACTTGACAGGTTTAAACCAGGGTTATCAATATTAGCTTTTTGATTGAGATACAAACTCAAGCCCTTCTGGTTATCTCTCATCATAGGATCGTTGCAGTTTCGAGCTGGAGGGAACATTAGAGATGATCTACCCTAGTCCTATTGTTCTACAGAGAAAAGGCAGGCTCAGAAAGACGGGCTGGATTCTCAACAATCACACAGCTCACTGACCCAGGCCTCCTGACTTAGTTCAACATTCTTTCCACTCTATCTCACTATATTCGTTCTCTTCCCCTAGAGATTTATTTTTTCCATTTAAAGAGTCAGGGAGGTAAGAAAGGATGGGGAGGGCATGAACCTGATTACTTCAAGTTTTTGCCACATTAGACTATATTTTATTACAAGTTCATTTTGAAATTTGCACAAGAATGCAATACCCCTAATTATTTTCTCTGTAGAAAGAAATAGAACCTCCTACCTCACTCCAGTTTCCAACAATCCAGTATGCAGGACTGTGGCCCGCAGTGATCTGCTTGTAATTGGAGGCATTCAGCAAAAACCCCTCAGCAATCAGGCTCATTGCATCCTCCTCTGTCAGGACTGGTCCAGAACTCTGTGTTACATTCATGTTGCTTGGTGGTTCTAGATGGTTATGGTTTACTGACTTTTCTGAGGGCACTGGCTGGTCATCTCCCAGAAGGAGTGGAGTCTTAGCTGGATTTTTAGTGAACATCCCCTCAACTCTGGGTGTACCATTTTTGAGAGGAGTGGGCATTTGGCTAGGTAGGAGTCCTTCCATCACTGTGCTCAAGGGTGGCCACAAGGACTCCTCCCTGAGATAAGGTGTTGGTGGAGGTCCGAGTGGCATTTTTGTACTTCTTACAACTGAAGCATCATTTCCAGGTACTCTGTTGTCGGTCCATATTACAGGGCTGCTTTCATCTTTGTTCTCAGGTTGTTCACTGTCTTCCCCTGAACCACTATGAATCTCCATTTCTGGCTCTTTGGTCAAAGTATCGTAGAGTGGAGTTGCCTGCCAAGTCACAAGGTTGCTGGAAGATGAAAAATCAGAACTGCTTGTTGTCGTGGCTGAAAGGTCTACCTCAGGGGTAGGAACAGTGTCTGAACTGGAAACATTCCCTTCATTTGGCTCGATACTCAAAGACCAGGAAGTAAGGGTAGGCTGAGAAGTAATTCCAGCAGAACTGAGATAATGGGAGTCCAGTTCAGATTGAGTTGAACTATTTTGCCACTGTTTCCCATCCAGGTTTCCTTGGGAGGTTGTGGTAGGACTAGGGCTCTTGACTGTCACAGCAATTGTATTCATCGGCTCAAGCACTGTGGGTGTGGTCACCATTCTGGGACTGGATGTAGGTGAAGGAATGGGTTTTACGGGGTCTTTCTCAGATGTTGGTAGATTTTTCCTATTGAAGATCATGCCTCTGTTGGGTTTCAGAACTCTCCGGGTAGATGGGCATTGCTGGAGGCCACACAGAGCTCGGCTGTTGGGTTTCTTTGTCACATCACAAGGCTCATCATTGTTCTTGGCACACGTCACACTGCGGATCCGCACTCCACCACCACAGGAAACAGAACACTGGAAAAGAGAAACAGCTGTTAGTCTCAGTGAGAGAAGATGCACTGGTTCTCACGCCAGGTTTACAAAGATAAGGACAGGCCCAGTAGAAACTGAATTGTGCAGCTAAAATTGCTTTCCTCTATCTCTACGTTTGGTTTCTGTGATCTTTGAGTTTTCCAAGGAAACTCATTTCCTGGATATAAATCTTGGGGACCAGGATCAACCATTCACTCTCCACAAACTGAAAATATACTAGTTGCTGTTGAGTGGATTCTGACTCATGGCAAACCTATGTGTCAGAGCAGAACTGTCTGCTATAGGGCTTTCAGTGGCTAATGTTTCAGAAGTAGACTGCCAGTCCTTTCCTCCAAGGTGTCTCTGGGTGGACTTGAACCTCCAACCTTTTGGTTTGCAACTGAGCATATTAACTGTTTGTACCACCTACAGACTGCTATATCGAAAACACAGACCAAGAAATTGTAAAACTGAAGAGTTGCTGGGCTTCCAACATTGAAGAGTGGGATCCACAAAGAGTGCAATGATTTAAACAAGTTAGCTAATCTTTATTTGAGACAGTAGTATTATCTCTTTCCTAGGGTTGTTATGATATTAAATTAATGTAAAATGCTTACATAGCCTCTGGAATCCATTAAGTTAATTATAATGTGCCTTTCCCTTTGTATTTCAAAAATACTCCTAACAACCCAGACTCTTCCAGGCACCACAAGGCTTCGTTTTTACTTGCCTGTGTCAGGTGGAATCAGAATAAAAGCCAGGCAATCACCATACTCACACATATACGCCTACTCCTCACTTACTGACTATCTTGTCATCTGATATTTCACATTTACAACAGTAAAAAATCTACTATCTGATTATTTCAGACATTAATGGTGTACTTCTGGCAAAAACGAACACTGAGTTTCAAGGCGAGAGTAATGCTGGCTATGATGGTTAAGGTTATGTGTCAGCTTGGCTGGGCCATGATTCTCAGTGGTTTGGCAGTTATGTGATGATGTAGTCATCTGCCATTTTGTGATCCGATGTGGTCATTCTCTATTTTTGTACAATGCCGATTTTCACATAATGACCTGGTCTTTGGAACCTTAGGAGTGCGTGTACATATATCCTGGACCTTTCTTGAAACTTAAAGGTGGGTAGTTTATCAGAGGTGGGGAGATACCCTTTTCTAAAGAGTTAGGTGAGTCCCTTAGCACTAATATATACATTGAGGCAGTGGCATATCCCCTTCCCCAACGTTTCCTCCACATTCTTTAGGGCACACGAAAGCACAGGTAGCTAGATCACCTTTGCAGAGATCCTGCAAGGAAAGTCCTTCCTCAGGAATTATGTCAGTAAGGAACATTCATTTCATCTCAGTAGCTTGCAAACCACATCTAGTTACTATATAACACTAAATTTCTAGATATTTTGAAAAATCCGTACTTTTACCAAACTGCTTTCTTTTTAGCTTTCCTTTCCAATGGCGTTTTAAGTTGACCACCAAAATGTTGGCCTTTGAGCATGGACCATCCAGGGATCCTTGCTGGCCGCATCGCATGGTCTGTCTTGTATCCCTGAGCTCAGAGTAAGTTTCTCCAGGACAGGTACTGAATGATGCTCGGTGGACTTCAAAGGGCTTCGCAGCCATCACTCTGCTATACTCTCACCAGCCCTGAGAGATTTACAAGGCAGGGATCTTTATGCCACCTTCCTCAAAAGAGTCCCAGGGACTTGCTTAAAATGCTGCAAGACAGGGGCTGAGCAAGAACTAAATTTATTCCACCCCTCTCACCCGCAAAAAACCTAGTGCAACACACTAGTACCAAGTAACTCTTGACTGAGTTTGCTTACTGACTCGACAAAACATTTGATTTCTGAGTTATCCAAAGTCAAGAACTGTTTCTTATTCATAATCGAATCCCGGGATAGTGCTTTGGACACCATGGCCACTTAACACATATTTATTAAGTGACAACTGTTTTATCTAGAAAGAAATCAGGAACAGAAAAACAAACAAACAAAACCCTCTCCTCAGTGTGAGCTTATGTATTTTTTCAGCTTAAGTTCCTGGCTTTTTGAGTCTTATTTTCAATTTGCCCTATGAAGAAAAATAATATTGATGTAGAAAACTCCCTCTTTGTTTCAGTTAAGCTTGATTACTCACTGATGTATGACAGCTCTAAAATCAACTCCTTTGAAAAGCAAGAGACTCTTCTGAGCCCAGCAGAATGCATGGCTAAGGGAGTGTCCACTGCAGCTTTTGGTTCAACTCATAAAACTATGAATTTAAGATGCAACAAAGCACTCCACACCCTTCTGTAAGATTGACTTTTCAGAGGAGAAAATGATCTTTGGTGGGAACGGTGCTTCATGGACAAGAAATGCATGCTTGTGTCCCACCAAAGTGAAGGTGACTGTTATGGGTTGAACTGTGTTCCCCCAAAAGATATGTTGAAGTTATAACCCCTGGTACCTGTGAATGTGACCTTATTAGAAACAGGGTCTTTGTAGATGTAATTAGTTACCACAAGGTCACTCTGGAATAAGATGAGCCTTAATCCATATGACTGATGTCCTTATGAAGAGAAGAGACAGAGAGACATAGATGCAGAAGGAAGACGGTTTTGTGAAGACGGAGACAGAAATTGGAGTCATGCTGCCACAAGCCAAGGAACACCTGGACAACCAGAAGCTAGAAGAGACAAGGAAGGATTCCTCCCCTAGGGCCTTCAGAGAGAACATGGCCAACACCTGATTTTGGACTTCTAGCCTCCAGAACACTGAGAGAATATATTGCTATTGTTTTAACTCACCCAGTTGTGTATTTTGTTATGGCAACCCTACAAAACTAATACAGCGGACAACATTTAATAACGAGCAGATTTCACATTAAAATTCTAGATTTTTGGCTTCTCTTGAAAAAGCAGATGATCTGCAATTCTGGGCCCAATTCCTACATGGCAACTCAAAAGTATATCCTTGGAGACCAAGGGCCAGGGAGGTGTTTACATGTTCTTCCGCACTCCTACCTTCCATCCACATCTGCTTTCTTTGCCCACTAGACTCTTAATCTTTCATATAACCTCTGTATGCTATCACTTAGCATTATGGCATACTCTGCCCGGTGGGATGGTATTAACTAGCTACCAAGTATACTGGGCGTAAATATTAAGTTGCCTTTTCTCATAATTCCACCAGATCACTGTGATGCTTTGTATTCAGCCCCACACTTCTTTCAGAACATCTCCAGACTGTGTTTACATCCTTAGGAGCTGTCAAATCCTCAAGATCAGATAAACGCAGTACACAACACCACACTCAGTACCCATCTCGACTGGTAGTTTCAGAATTCTCAAAACCAATTTCTGCTATGATTATCATATGCCCCTCCCTTATACCTTGGAACCCTGTACCAGACAGACAGTTTGTCAATCTGTTAACAGCCTCTCTGGGAGTTATCTTGCCCTTACTTGTTACCACTCCTAGATTAAAGGCTTCTCAGAGGAGCCCGCTGACAAAAAGTTCTGCTGCTAAATTTGCCAACTCCACCCGCGTGAGGTGTACAGCTAGGTGGGGGACTCACAATTGGTGTCAGTGCTATGGTACTGAGAGAGAGTTCACTGAAAAACACAACTGGGTTGTAACAGAGGGTTTGGACTGAAAGGATAGGTGGTGAAGCAGCTAACATTTTGGGCATTAAAAACATTTAACACATAGTCTTAGGAACTTATACATGGATAATGGACTCGCAACAACAATAACAAAAAAAATCAGACATGATGAAGAGAATCAACATGGCTCCCCACTGGTTTCCTGTGAGTAGCTGTCTGTTTCAAACAAGAGCACCGTGTCTGGAACCATGGTGTAGCACAGGCTGCTGGGCTGGGAAGGACTCAGACATGAGCACTTACAGACACCTCAAACCAAAACGAGAGGAGACAGTTGGTGACAGAAGTCAGAACATCAGGTAGCAGCCTCACAAGAGTGCCTTGGCCCTTAACTGAAACAAGGGAATACTAAAGAGTAAGTGACTTATTGGAAACGTCTCCTATCCCGCCATGCTCCCTCTCCCTTTGGTTTGCAGTCACTCTTGTGGGACTTCACACAGGCCTTTCTTTGCTTCTCATTTAGCTATGTGAAAAAGGAAAAGAAAAACAAACAAAACCAATTGCTGACTCATAGTGACCCTATAGGACAGAGTAGAACTGCCCCATAAGGTTTCCAAGGAGCAGCTGCTGGATTCGAACTGCCAACCTTTTGGTCAGTGGCCGAGCTCTTAACCACTGCACCACTAGCACTCCACAGACACTAGCTAAAGAGCAGAGGGGAAAATGGAAGATCCTTTCAATGAACAGTTTGATGGTGATTTAACTAAAAGCACCTCTCCTAATAACATATCCTGAATGGAGGTGGCAGCTAAGTCTCTCTGCTCAGCTCTGTCAAGTGGAAGCTAGAAACTGGATCCTAGGTCTGCTGTCAAGGGTCTATGCAATGGCTTACATTTAGAAAAACAGACATGAGTACTTGTCACATTGTGCAAACATTTTGGTCCCTTGTTCATCAGTTAAGGCAGGACATTCTGCAGCCCTTGAGCATATATACAATAAGAAGAACTCCTCAGCCAAGTCTGTAATTGCAGTCCTTTTAAAAAGCATTAAGATTTTGGCAATTAGTAAATTCTACAAGTGTTATTAACTGCTTCAGACACAGCCAGCACATTTTTGGTAAACAGACTTAATGGACCAGGCACAATACCCCATTCAGCCTTATTTGACAACACTATAATTTAGAACAATTTAGGTTGGCGGTGGACTAATAGGCCAGGCCAGCCACATGCTATGATTATACCCTCCCAGGAAGAGCAAGGAGAATATTCTGGCCTCTTGCTGATGTGTGCACACATCAGTAACACTCCTGCGTTCATTTGTAGGTTGGTATTTTTTGCAGATATGCATTTTTCTCTTCCTTTCTTTTTCCCTTCCTTTCCTTTTCTTGTTTGTTTATGGCCATCTCTCTCCTAGATGATAGGAAATTCTTAGAAATAGGGACTATACTTTCCCTTTCTTTTCAAACCACCCCGCCCACCCCTGAGACGCCTAAGAATGCAGCCTGTAAAAAAATAAGCTAAACAAACCTGAACTGTGCCACTGAGTTAAATGAAATAGTCTCGGAAATAAGTTTACTGATGCTGCTTGTGTTCAAATGAGTCTACTTCCAAGTAGTTGTCATCAGAGATGGTACCTTTGCTCACACAATGCTTAGAATTCTTCTTTAGATAGTACTTTCAGAGCATCTTCCTAGGCTGTATATGAGAAGCAATCTCATTTACGGATAGTCATTTTTTAAACAGAAAGGTTTTAGCCAAAGTGATTATGTCACTCTTATTCTCCAGAATCAAATATTTTCCATTTTCTCTGAAGGGGAGTCCAAAGAGGAGTTTCTAGAATATTCTAGTCAATGGTAGCATTGTTACAGACAGTGTGTGGCTTCCCAAAGAAACTCATAAGATGTCAGAATCCATCTAAAATTCTGGCCTGTTAGTTTGAAAAATCATTTATTTCCCAGCCATTACCCAAGGCATTGGCTAAAATCAGCTTAGCTCAGCCCAGCTGAGGTCCTTGGAGACTACAGGCCTTTGGGGAAAGAAGGGGTCTATGTTTACCCCATCACTGTGGGAACATGACAAGTCCTGACAGTACCAGTTTCCATGGTGAACTAAAGAAAATTAAATGCTTCTGAGTTTGTAATAACCTTCTAGCCCACTGATCTCTCATTGTACTCAGAGAATTATATCAGATTAATTTTGGCAAAATGTGACACATATTTAAATTTTTGTGGCTAATAACAGTCAACGTACTAGAGCTCGGTCAGGCCTGGCCTTGACACATACTGAATAGATGGATGAATCGGGGGGCTGCTGCAAGTGTCAGGGTGCTATCTAGCATTCCACCATTAGTGCAACACGCCTTTGGTTTTACCTAACCACAGTCATGTGCTGGTAAATGTTCAACAAACTGGTTCTTGAGGTGGAATGGGGAGCTCTCCTTGATTTTGCTACCAGTGGTTTAACAAAGGCTAAGCAAATATCATGAGAATGTATCAACTGGCTCTTATGAGCCTGCATGAACTGGCTCCAATACATTCCTGGACGTAGTTGGCCATTAGACAAGTGAGAACAAGATCCTGTAAGAATGGAGTACAAGTGAGATGGGATACTGGGTGGTGGGGGGATGCAGGAAACAGGACAGAGGTGATGGTTGCTGGCTAGTATGTAATTTTACCTAAGGTCACTTTGGATTGGCTAATGACATTTGGAGGAATGACTGGGGGCTGATGAACGCACCTCACTCCAATTGCTCACAGTCCAATCCGAGGGACACAGGATGTCTCTGTTACAGGAAACGAGGGGCTTGGGCTTCAGCAGGTGCTGGCAATCTTTAGCCGGGAGAGCCTGCTCGTCAGAGCCCATGGTCTGGATGCATAGTACCGTTCGTTTCTTCTCTCCGTGGGGCCCGCAGGTTGCTGAGCATGCTTCCCACTCCCCTGCCCACCACCTGTGAACAGACATGGACATGTGAAGGAAGATCACCAAAAGCCCACACACATTCCATTCAGCCTCTAGAAACAGAAATAAGCCAGGCGCAGAAGCACAAGATTACAGAGCTGGGCGGTCCTTGGAGACACTCCAGCCCACTAGAGGGTGCTCTATGGGAGAGGACTCCCTCAATCCAGGGCTTCCAACTGGTTCCAACTCCTGCTGAGAATTTCTAACAAGTTTCTGATAGCACATTGGTTAAACGCTTGGCTGCTAACCAAAACGTCGGCAGTTCAAATCCACCAGCTGCTCCTTGGAAACCCTATGGGGCAGTTCCACCCTGTCCTATAGGGTCGCGGTGAGTTGGAATCGACTCGACAGCACCCAATAACAACAAGTCCCCAGGCGACGCCAATGCTGCTGGTTAGGGACCAATTCTGAGAACCACTAGTAGAGCGAAACCAAAACCAAACCCACTGCCATCGAGTTGATTCCAACTCATGGCGACCCTCTAGGACAGAGCAGAACTGCCCCATAGTGTTTCCAAGGGTGTAAATCTTTACAGAAGCAGACTGCCCCATCTTTCTCCCACTGAATGGCTGGTGGGTTCCAACTGCCTATCTTTTGGTTAGCAATCGAGTACTTTAACTACTGTGCCACCAGGGCTCTTTACTAGTAGAGCAGTGGTTCTCAAAATTTATTATACTTAAGAATCACCTGGGGATCTTGTTAAAATGTAGATTTTGAGTCAGTATATCTGGGGTAAGGAGCCCTGGTGGTGCAGTGGTTAAAGCGACTGTTAACTGAAAGGTTGGCAGTTTAAAACCACCAGCCACTCTGTGGAAGAAAGATGTGGCAGTCTGCTTCTGTAGAGATTTACAGCCTCGGAAACCCTATGGGGTCACTATGACTTGGACTTGACTCCATGGTAGTGAGGTTTTGGGTATATCTAGGATGGAAATGCATATTTTCAGCAGAGGTTTGAACAGGAATGAACTGGTTTGAAGCCCTGGTTCAATCACAACTCTAGAACCCAGCAGAGCACCTGGCATACATAGTTGCTAAATAAGTTTAAAAAAAAAAAAAAACCTCTGTTTTTACAGTCAAGAAAACTGAAGGCCAGGTTTCTGCTGTGCAATTTTAAGCACGTTAGCTGACTTCTCCGAGCTTTACTTTCCTCATCTGTTAAATGAGTATAACAATATCAACTTTATATGAGGTTGTGGATTAAATGAAACACCATTCATGTAAAGTGCATAGTACAGAGACCGACATACAATAAAAACTCAATCATTTGTTATTATTTATTGTTGTTTTGACTGTTGGTATTGAGTAAAAGAATCCAACTAGAATCTAGGTCACCTTATTCCTAATCCAGTGCTTTTCTAGTCCAATGTGAAGCACTTAGTAATTTTCAATTATTTAGGAAGGGATCAATCAGAAGATTTGCTTTCCTTTTTATTTTTTCTAACTCCTGAAATCTAGCTATTCATGTTTTCACTGGTGTCTTTTATAGGATAGGAGAAGAAAAAGAAGAACCTTAAATAAGATAATTTCTTACTTGTCAGATGTTCCTGACAAGTTAAACATTCTAACTGCTGACTGAAATCAATATTCTGGACTTCCCATGGAAAAACTAACACAGATACCATTTCTCTACCCCATTATCATGGATGATTGACACAGGAATCAAGGATGTTGGCCCAGTGGTTACAAAAAAGTGGCTTTGTGAAAATGGCAGGGAGACCTCACCTTTCTTCTTAGGTATCATTATGCAAATCTCCCCCATAGAAAAGACAGAATAAGTGCCCTGACCCAGTGTGGTCTGAGTCCACCACTGCTAAGACAAAACAGCCTGATTCTTCATCTCTCCAAATGCATTAATAAAGTAGAATATTTCTATTTTTCATAGGAAAATAGTACAAGCGTGTAAAGCCTTTCATTCCTGACTTTAAGGAAGCCTCCTGAGCTTGAGATAGCATTGAATTTTGGCAATTTTGAAGAAGGAAAAATTTGTGTGCTCTTATTTATGTTTACTGAGTATTGAATTTATTTTGGTGGAAGTTTTTTAATTTTTGATTCTCATACTTTTATTGTGATTCTATTTTATTTGATTCTCATACTTTTATTTGCCATTTCAACATTTTCTATATGTACAATTCAGTGACATCAATTACGTTCATCATGTTGTACAACCATCACCACTATCCTTTCTGAAATTTTTCCACCCCCCTTAACAGAAGCTCAGTGCCCCCTAAGCAATGATTCCCTCTTTCCCACTTCCTTTCACCCCAGGTAACCACTAACGAACATTGGTCCCTATACATTTGCCTATTCTATTATGTTTGATTCTCATACTTTCAATCTTAGGTTAAAAAACATTAAAAGAAAGCTCTTCAGTTCTATTATATCATGCACTTAAACCAGTAACTGAGATTACTTATTTATCCTTTGGGGCCTTGGTGGCACAGTGGTTAACAGCTCGCCTGCTAACCAAATGGTTGGCAGTTCGAATCCACCAGCCACTCCTTGGAAACCCTATGCGGCAGGTCTACTCTGTCCTATAGGGTCACTGTGAGTCAGAATCGACTTGATGGCAATGAGTTTGGCTTATTTATCCTTTAGTGTTTAACATCTGGCTGTCTTATGTGGATAAAGAGCTAATATTGGAACCCCATGATGTGAAACCGAATGAAGGTCCACTGCATTAATCTAATTACTTTGTCCTACCTCTGACATTTCCAAGGGAGGCCAGGCACAGTACCGAATATATGAAATGTCGTTCTGGAAGGGCTTTAATCCGAAATGACTGAAAGTCTAATTTATCTAATTACTCACTACAGGGCTTTCAGCTGTGTCATCACAAAGTAATAATGGACTTCCTTGTTTTCTCTCCCTGGAATTTCCTCCACAGTCCCCTGGGGACATTTTGCATATGCTTGTCACTAGTGTAAAGTGAAAACTGTCCTCTTTATTTCCCTGCAAAGGTTTTCCAAGCCCAGGGCTCAGGAGCTATGGTCCAGTTGTTCTCTGCTGTTCATCTCATTTTTGGTGTCTGCCATGATTCCACCCCATTTAGGAGATTTATAACAGAATACTGGGTATATACTTACAAGAAGTTTTATATTTATAAGAGATTGTCAGGGACTGAATTATATCCCCCCAAAAAATATGGGTATCAATTTGGCTGGGCCATGATTCTCAGTATTGTGTGGTTGTCCTCCATTTTGTGATTGTAATTTTATGTTAAAGAGGATTAGGGTGGGATTGTAACACCCTTACTAAGGTAATATCCCTGATCCAATGTAAAGGGAGTTTCCCTAGGGTGTGGCCTGCACCACCTTTTATCTTACAAGAGAGAAAAGGAAAGCGAAGCAAGCAGAGAGTTGGGGATCTCATACTACCAAGAAAGCAGCAGTGGGAGCAGAGCGCATCCTTTAGACCTGGGGTTCCTGCGCAAAGAAACTCCTAGTCCAGGGGAAGATTAATGACAAGGACCTCCCTTTAGAGCTGACAGAGAGAGAGAGAGTCTTTCCCTTGACATGATGCCCTGAATTTGGACTTGTAGCCTACTAGACTGTGAGAGAATAAATTTCTCTTTGTTAAAGCCATCCACTTGTAGTATTTCTCTTATAGTAGCACTAGGTAACTAAGACAGAGATTTAAAACAGAATACTGTTAAAGTGTTCTGAGTGACTGGTGAGAAGGGCAATGTAATATGCAAAGGACTCAGGGAGTCAAAAGACCAAGTCTCCTCCAACAAGACCATCTCTCTAGTTTGATCAGCAAAGAATTAACAGCAACCTGATCTGACTTCTTCCATTTTTGCCATCGATTTTTCTCTTACCTGAAATGACACCCAACACACTTAACCCAGAATTGAATAACTGATCATGCATTGTCTTCTTGTATTCTTCCTTAGTTGTTACATATTAGTTCATCTTATCATTCTGGTTATCATGCCAAAGTTCCAAGGAAGGGCTAGGGCTATATCAGTGATTCTCAACATATCAACACTTGGGGAGCTTAAAAAATTATCAATGTCCAGGCCGTACTGGCACAACAATTGAATTAGAATTTCTTGGGGGTAGGGCCAAGGTGACAGTGGTTTTTAAAAGTTCGTGGATGATTTTTATATGCAGCCAGGGTTGGAAACCACTGGTCTTACCGTTGTTAGGTTCCACTGAGTTGGTTCTGATTTATAGCGACCCTATGTGCAACAGAATGAAATGCTGCCCAGTCCTATGCCATCCTCACAATTGTCGCTATGTTTGAGCCCATTGTTGCAGCCACTGTGTCAGTCCATCTCATTGAGGTTCTTCGTCTTTTTCACTGACCCTCTACTTTACTAAGCATCATGTCCTTCTCCAGGGACCGATCCCTCCTGATAACACGTCCAAAGTACATAAAACAAGGTCTCACCATCCTCGCTTCTAAGGAGCATTCTGGCTGTACTTCTTTTAAGACAGATTTGTTCGTTTAATGGATTTGACTGATTTAAAATTTTTCCCCACAGAATCAACTTGGTGTTTTAGTATGAGTTGTGCATAGTATAGAAGTATCTTTAAAAAAAAAGAACTCCTGAAGAATCTGTAGTTGTCCTAGAAACGTTTACTATAGTTTGAACACAAATTTTCTTTGAAGCTCAAGTAGGAGGGACGGGGTGGAGAACCTTAGAATAGCTTTCTTACCTGTACCTTTAGCAACTCCCAGACTAGAATTTGCTATGGCAGCTCTAACCTCCAAAAAACCAAACCAAAAACCAAACCAAATCCGTTGCCATCGAGTCGATTCTGACCCATAGGCCAGTTTAATCCCTCTAGCCAACAATACTCAGAGAAATGAAAGTCCAAATCTGAATTTGTTAAACTTTGCTAACAACAGTCATTTTCTTAAAAATATCAACTTCTATAATTATTTTATTTGTACTAATCTTTTCCCTAATAGCATTCACATTCAAAAATCAAATGTAGCCCAATATAATAACCACTATTATGATATATGCACTATTACCCATAG